GCAATCCTTTTACAGAAAAACTTGAAATTGAGCCAATTACCTAAGAAAGTATCTTTCGAACAGATATTCCGACTATCTATAGGTATTTGGGAGCGAGAAATCGGCCTGATTTCTGTGTATACAGTCATTCATCGAGCGCGGAGTCACTGCCACGACTCTCGATAGCGAAATATCCATCCCCTTTACAGTGCGATTCTATTTTAACATCCAAATAGTGTTATAAAAGTTTACAGTCTTATGTTTATAAAATCTTTTTACGTATATAAAGTACAGTACAATCAAACAAAAATAGAACACTCGAGAAGTGTAAATTCTCCTTATTTCATTCACCCGGTTTATATGAGGTTATACAAAAACAAATACAAAAAGTATTAATCCACTTTCTATGATAAAATTTATTCGTTTTTAAGCAAAATATGTATACGTATTTTTCTTTACTTTATAAGAATTTCCTTGAAAAACACCATTTATTTCCTGATACAGTGTTTTATTTTAACAAAATAAACATGTATTACTAGTTTTTCGAATAATGAATTTATCTCTTTCGTAAAAAGATCAAAATAAAATTGCCTATTGCAAAAATGATTTATAAGCAACATTTAATATCTACAAGGAAAGTTCGATTTTTACTTTTTAAATCTGATTTAAACAAACTTACATTTGACTTCTTGATTATTACGAATGAAAACACGGCAGGGAAAGGTAGCAGTTTAACAGAGAAGAAACACGACACTAAAGTAAATTAACCGATAAATTAGTGGATTAAGAGATAGGTAAGAATTAATTTTGCTTAAATCATAAGCTTTTTGCGTATTAATTCATTAACAGTAATAAGTAATTGTACAAGTATAAGCATATAAGATGTTATTTAGCATAATAATTGTATACAATTTATAGGATATTATTAACTTAAATTCTACTGTTACTTATATATACTAATATGAATTAAACTACTTTTAGATTCATCTAGCTACTATCAATTATTTTTTATTCATTAAATAAGTTTACTATTTTTTTCACTTTTCTGGCTGTTATATAGGCCTATAACAGAGGGAAAGTCCGTAATCAAACTCAAAATGACCCCTTCTAAATTTTTACTTTTTTGGACATTGGACACTTTTTAAAGTCGAAAAATGCACAAAATCTCGGGAATAATTTCTGTATGTATAAATATTAGTGTATATGTGTGCACGCGAGAAGTGTTTGACTCGATTTTGCTCACTCTGTTGGAAGCCTAATAACTCCTGTTCTTTTTGTCGAAAATTTCGAAAATTTTACAGGGAGGTTTGTTTATTAGTGGGATTGATGCATTTCAATTTTGATAGAAAAAGGTGAAAGGAGTGGGGAAATAATGTGGGCCGTGTGTATTTCCAATAGGATTTGAATTAGTGACGATTTTACTCATTATTAACATTTACAATTGTTTTTTTTTTTTTATAAAACCCATCCCTATCCTGAAAATTAAGTTGTTTGCCATTTTAAAATTGTTAAAAACATACAAAACATTAAAGAAATATGATAACAGATAGCGTTAAATATATAAATAGCCTGGAAAGAGCAACTCGTTGCTTGTATATTACTACTACATAATTATTTTAATCATTATTGCCTGTTTATCAATTCATATCATTATCATTTATCTTCATATTTAATCTGGTAAGTTTGTTGAATTTTATAATAATATTGTAAAGGAGGTTGAGGACCATAAAATGAAAAGTAACACCTGAAAATCTTACCATGTTCAATGGATTTTAGAATAATTTTATTATTATTGTAACGTAAATAATAGTTTATATAGCGGCTGAAATCCATTTATATTCTAAAATCTTACATTTTACAAATCAGTATTTTAAATTGTGAGATTATAATTTCATATTGTAAAGTTCGAAATCAAATATGTAACTTCACTGAAGACGCCGAAAATTTTGCCGAAAAATGCATTCTGTAGAACTTAGCGTTAATAAAGTGAGAGAAAAGAGTGTGATCTGTGTAAAATAAATTGTAACAGCAATGCAAATATGCTTGTATAGTTACTTATTACTCTAGATTTGTTTTTTATTTTTCATTGATTTTTCTTTTGAAGTTTGAAGATTGAAGTTTGCTTTTTTTTTATAAAATAATCTTGAATCACCAGAAAGGAATTCTTTTCAAATTATAACCATTCACGAAAATATCGAGCATGCATTCAGACTGATTTCATTTTCTGCTGCCATATTTTCATAAAGACGATTGTAGTCTTTCGAAAATCTGCTTTTCCACAGAAAATAGAACTAAATCAAGTTTCGAAAGCAAGATTTGTATTTACTGACATTATTGTCACAAACATTAGAATTTCGAGCTAACGCGGTTACTGTACGTTCTCTGCTAGTTCCGATTTCTACTAAAACGCAATCTTTTGTAAAAATTTATTATTAATTTTGCTATTCTGTGCTTATTTTATGCATAATTAACTTTTCTGTATATAATATATACAGAAAAGTTATATATAATATGCAAGGTGCGTGCACATTTCCTCGCAACACAAACTTCCTCCGAAAATGAGTATTTTTTTGTTTTATTAATTAAGTTATGGCAACGCAACACTCGGGCAATCTGCCTAGGGGAATGCCTTCCGGGATGTCTTTTTAAGGGTAGTGGACCATATTCAGGCGTAATAGTACGTTCGCACAATATCCAAGACTCACTCCCATCTCGATTGTAACTGTCGCCAGTCGAACGTCGAGCTGTTCGCACAGGCCGCTTGAGAATAACCCGGTTATTGCAAGCGATGATAAAACTGAAGTGGTTAGTCACGAACATCAACAAAGCAGAAGTTTTTTTAGAAATAAATACTTTTTTTTGCCATACATTTAATAATAGACAAATATCAACGTCTCTCCAGATGTCTTTTTTATGTCTTTGCCGATAGCCCGACACGTGTTCCGCAGCCATCTTGTATTTTCTCGGTTGCGTGGTATTGTGGAATCTCTTTTATGACTGGTTCTAGTTTTAAGAACTCTCTTGAGTCGATCGCGATTGAACCTCGTTTCTGTCGACATTTAAACGGTGGCGAGACGTCAAACCACGGCATAATCGCCGACCTTGGTAACAATTTAGATCGAAATGCTCGGTGCCTACGGGATATTACAGACGTAGAGAAAACCCGGAAAATTTCACGTTGCCAGCCCGTCCTGGCCAGGCGCGAACCATAACTGAACTCCAGTGTTTAAGAAACAGAACCGCTTTGCCACTGGTGGGTCCCGAAAATGGGTATTTGTCTTTTTACATTTTATAACAGTTTGTTAGAAATGTTTTCTTGTAAAGTATTGCAATAATTAAAATTTATTTGTTGTTTTTAATATACTAATATTACAGTCTGCAATTTTATAAAGTTTCCTACAAAGCTTTTCGTTCGTAATTTATATAAAATGGTGTTTCATAAAAATATACCCTTTTTATTTTACATGTTATTCGATATTAAATTTGTATTGCTTTTAACACATTGTTTGACAGTAGAAAGTTTTTGAATGAGCCATTGTATCAATATGTCGGAATCAAGTGAAATATTACATGACATAGACACGGAAAAGTAGGGCAGTTCTAATAACGCGGTTGTTGAACCTTATTGCCTGCATTTGACAATGAATGCAGAAATGTCGTTGCACATGAAAACAAAATATATTTTCTACATCGTTTTTTGCAAGGATTGATTTCTAAAAAGTGCATTTGAAAAAAGATGGGTATTTCTTTGTAGGAACGTGCTTAAAGATCACGTTTCAGTATAATACGTTAGGTTACGAGATGTTATGGCGTGGTCAGTGAGAAATATTGACTTTTGAATCGGACGCTTTTCTCAAACACTCTAAAAGAGCAGGAAAAAGTAATATAACTTATAATGTTCAAGCTTAAGAACAGCAATTTTTAATCCACAGTGCATGATGCAATAAGCAGAAGCTCAATCCATTCTGTCGGGAGAGATGTTTGTCAAATGTTAAACCTACTGGTATTACGTGTATTCGAAAAATGAAAAATATTAGTAATTGTATTTTTGTTCTTATTCAATTTGGATATAAAGGTAAATAAGAGATCTGTCTGTGACATCAAACAAGATAAGCTTACATAATGCAGATGCGTAGAACGAGACACATACATTGGAGAAAAAGCAGTTATTGAATGCAGACCAGAAAAATTTTATACGTTTATATTATTTGCAAAATTTACTTAAATTTAACAGCAAAATACTTGTAACTTTTCATGCTAAATGATATACATTAACTATTCAGCGTTGAGAAATATGCAAAAAAATGCAACATTGCAATAAATAGACAAATTTCGAGATACTTGTTGATTTTTCTCTGTATCAACATTGGGATAAATATGGAAATAATGAAAATTAATTTTTTCGATACAAACTCAAATAAGACGGAAAATGCATTTAAATCCTAATATTTATCGAGGTGTCAAGAAATTTTTCAAATTAAAATCAAATGAAGAATTTCAAAACAAATTTTCTTGAAACATGTTAGATTAAAGCAATACGTGAATTTTGAATTTTTTTCAGACAATTGAAATCAAATTTGTATAAATCCACATTGAAAGTATTTTTAAATTTATTCTAATTTATAGTTTTTAATTAACTTGTAACTTAATTAATTTTCCAGAAATTGTGTCAGGTTTTCGCACAACGTTACAAGATGATGAAAAACACGAAGTTTACGTGTGTCAGTGAAAGTCTATGCAAGTGTTTAGGAAATCTCGGAAGAAACATTGCACGACATCCTTATTATTACATCATTACCTCTTTCATTGTCTGTGCTTTACTGTGTATTGGATTTTTCAATATGAAAATCATTCATGATATGAATTACTTGTTATGTGCTGACAGAGGAAATATTTTTGACATTCGACAATTCATAGACAAAACATTTCCAATGAACACTTCGAAATTTTACGATTTACAAAGGATAACTCATCGTCCAGTAGTACCTATGATTTATATAAAACACAAAAAAGACAAAAACATGTTAAAGAAAAATATTTTACTGGAAGTTCAAATGCTAAGCGAAATAGCAAATAACGTCACCGTGCATGTCGATGAAAGACAAATTAGTTACAACGATGTTTGTGGACGGGTCTATGAAAAATGTTTCGATAATCCTATTTCCACTTTGTTAAATCGTGCGGATGATGTAGTTTCTAAGAGACTAAAATTCAAGTATCCCATAGATATGGATCCTCTAACGTTTTCATATAAGATAATGTTATTGAATTTAGGAGGTGTGATCGTTGACAGTAACGATTATATAGAAGAAGTATACGCCGTGCGTTTATTTTATCCATTGGACTATAGTAACACAAGTAAAACAGAGTGGACTAAAGCTTGGAGTAAAGCTCTTCACAGAAAAATAAAAGAATGCAATTTCAAGTATATTGACACCTTTTTCGAGCCATTCGCTTCGACTGACGTTAATGTTATATCAGATTTGCAGGAGATAATACCATTTATAAGCGTCACTATAATCGTAGTATGTTTCTTCAGCATGCTGAGTAATATGACCAATAGTTGGATTAGAAGCAAACCGTGGATGGGTGTAGCCAGTGTCATGTCAGCCGGAATGGCTGTAGCTGCCTCGTTTGGATTACTATTTGTTTGCGGAGTAGAAAGCACATATTATAATGTTGCTCTCCCATTTGCGATTCTGGGTAGGTTATATAATACGTTATATAATGTGTACATTTATTTTGTGACTAATATTTTGAAATTGTTTTTCAGTGACAGAAGTGGACGATTCTTTCGTAGTGATCGCGTGTTGGAGAACAACTAATACTCGTGATTCTGTTGAAAAGCGCATGGAAGATACGTATTCGAATGCAGCAGTATCCATAACTATAACTTCGTTTACAAACTTTTGTTCTTATTGTGTTGCAATGAACTGCCCTTTTCCGGCAATTAGAATATTCGGCTTTTATGCTGCTACCTGCATCTGTTTTACGTATTTCTTTCAGCTGACGTTTTTCGGAGGTTGTCTGGCTTTGAGTGGATACAGAGAGGAGAACGGTCTTAATCCCATTTATTATAAATCTGTTTCAGGTGAAGTAAAGCTTATTAAATATAACTTTTACAATTAATTTTTTTAATCATAATTATGTTGTTGATTTTAAAAAATAACGTAATAAATCTTAAAGAAAATAAAGTAGATTTTTATTATAAGGGATGTTTATCTCACACCGGACACCTAATGTTTTGAAAAATAATTATAATAGATGAAAGTATAAAAATCATAAAATAAATTCAATTTGGTTATGATCAGACATACATTATTCAATCAAGAAAAATACATGTGGTTAACAGTATGCGTTTAAAAAGTATTCAATAAAAATAAATGTTATTTAAACTCCGTAAAAAACGATTCTTATTTATTCGTAACAAATAATTATTGCAATGTATGCTAAATTTTCGAATGTATGACAAGCAGTTCAAATGAAAAATACTTCTTATAGCAGCGGTGAATGATTTTAAGTCAACAAATAAAATTTTACTGTTATTACTGTATTTGTAAAACACAAAAGCGAACTAAAGTAATGTAACAAAACTCGTGGTTCTTAGACACAAAAATCTTCCTACAAAAGTCGCCTGTATCGAAATCAATATTTTTTCTTTCCTTCAGTCGTTGAGTCTAAAACTTGATATTTGAATAAAATGTGGTAAACCCAATTTTTTTTCTTAGAATTAAAAGTCTGTATATGTTTATTGACTTACTGTTTTATTGCAATCTTATGCTACGGAAGATTTCTAACCACATTTTGTGTGCAGTTATCATTAGTATATCATTGTTTTCACTCTTCCTTAATGACCTTTTCATATACTGGTACTGAAAAGTCGATGACGTCATATATAGGTAAACAGATATCTTAAGATATATATTCTCACTCCGTAATAACCCGTCATTTCCATCTTTCCTTATGAAATCGTGTCTTTTTTCTTGTTTGTTTATACGACAAAATAAAGTGTAATTTACATATGACACAATGTGTTCTATGCATTTTTTATTGACGATACGCGTTTCAAGTTCACACCCTTCTTCTGTCGTCTACATGTAATTACAAAATGTAATAAGACACAGTATTATATTAAAAGAATGTAATTATTCAACAAGAGTCGTACCTTTTAATTTTTTTAAGTGTTGAGCATATTAAATAAATTGTAGAAGATTGAAATACATTTTGAAAGACTATGCTATTGTTTAAATTGGGCTACAATTTTCAAATTGCACAACTATAAGTTTTCACTGGCCTCTGCCTGTCTGTTGAGTGTCTGCTATTTTCTCAATCTCGGTAGCGCTGATAGATAGGTAAAAAGCATGTATGATAAGATATGGAATACGTAGGGGCAGAAAACCCCGATCAACTGTATATACAAACTTCCGGCTTGGATTGAGAAGCACGTCATTTTAATTCAAATATTTTTTTCCAAAACGGAGTTAGATAGATGATTTGTATGACTGTTTTTAACAGGAAAAGCACCATGTACTGTACGGTTTTTTATTCCGAACTAGGAAATATCTATGGGTAACTGTATAGGTAGGTCCGCAGGTGTTCCTTGCTGGTTTAATTATGTATGGTAGAATACTTCTTACAAATAGAACGAGAAACAATTTATAATAATAATACTAATGAACAAATAAAATTTCGAAAATTAAAATACGAAAAAAAATTTTAGAAAAATTAAAAGAATTATTTAAACATTATATTACAGTGACACCTGAACAAATAAATAATATTAAAACACATAAAACATTAGAACTTAATAACAAATTACATCAACTTTGGAAACGTTTTGTACAAACTGAAGCGAGTTTGTAGCGATCAATCAATAAATATTATGTCACCACCACGGGCCATAAAATTTTGGGAGAGACCCAACCATTGAAAAGCAGTGACAGGTGAATCGTAGGCAGATAATTCTAGATTTACCATAAGTCCGTATTTAGTACAGACAGTCTGTACTTTAATGGGTCTGTAAGTGTTTGGACCGTACTTAGAAAAAATAATGAAAATGTCAGTACTTGTCAACTGATTGCGCACTTAATACTTCAATCATAATTACGTAGATTTAAATCTGCTAATAGGTGCTAAATTTTTTATAATTATAATTTTATTTATCATTATACAGTAGAGCGTCGATTATCCGAATCAATTGGGGAATGGGGTTGTTCGGAAAACCAATATTTCGGATAACCGATTATGTACGAAAAAATACATTAATTTATCCCATGTTGAAATTTTTTTCCATTGCGTGACGCTTCGCGTTAAATTTTCGTCGATGTTAAGCCTAACGAAGACTATTTTATCGTTAAAAATTATTTTTTATTTTGTACAAACCAGGGCTGTGGAGTCTCGTAAAAATCTACCGACTCCAACTCCGACTTCGACTTTTCCTTACCAATCCGACTCCGACTCCGGCTAAAACACCAAAACTCCACGAATCCGACTCCGACTCTCCGACCCCGACTAACGACTCCACAGCCCTGGTACAAACAAAATAAATTATATCGAAATATATAAAAGCAATAAAAAATTATACTTCAGAAGTTAATTTACTATCAAAAACGTAAAATATTTGAGTAGCTCAAGACATAGCCAAAGATTGCAGCTCCACAGCACTGGGGAAAATTTAAATTTGCCGACTGGAATTCTTTCGGATAATTGACGCTCTACTGTATAAGAAAATATAACGGCTCTGTTGCTTACAGAATATGCACACATTCATTATAACTGTTTTTTAGTTAGATAGTACTCGTTGTTTACGGTGTAAAATAATTATGTGTTATTAATTATTATAAAAAAGTAGAAATGAGTTTTATATATTAAAAAAACAATTGTAAATGTTAATAAACGAGTGAAATCTTCATTAAGTTCGACCCCACTCGAGATACGACACGTGATGTATCTCCTCACCCCGTTGACATTTAATCACCAAAATTTAACAGCATTAATTAGTCTAATACGAGATCCTTCTTGCAAAATTTCAAAAATTTTCGACAAAAAACACAGGAGTTATTAAGCTATCAAAATGGGTGAACAAATTCGTGCCCCTAACCGACTTTAACAAAATTATTAATTTTAATCAAGGACAGACATNAGATAGTACTCGTTGTTTACGGTGTAAAATAATTATGTGTTATTAATTATTATAAATAAAAAAATTGTTTGTGGTACCATCTGTTATGATATTTTCTTATAAAATGCGAATAACAAGTGAAATCTTCATTAGGTTTAACCCCACTCGAGATGTGATACACGACCCTTCTATCTTCACACCCATCGAATTTTAACTTCCAAAATTTAACTGAATCAATCCTTTAATTATGCCAACCTCCCTGCATATTTTCAGAAAATATTCGACATGAATTACAGGAGTTATTAATCTTCAAAGAGGGTGAAGAAAGTCTTGCTTCACACAAATACACACTCATACACACTAACATTTATATAGGCCTATACAAAATAAACGCAAATTCTCCTGCATTCCTCGACGCTTCCATTTCCCAAGTACAAAATTGACTACTCAAATATTTCAAAGACAGGAAAATAAAAAGTTGATATTATTATAATGATTCAGATAGTTTTTATATTTATTATTTTTCTACAAATGAATTTTATGTGAAAATGGCAATAGCACCAGAGGACTTTTTTTTTAACCATATTTGCATTTTATTGCGGAGGCAGTAGCCTCTAAAGAAAGGTCGCCTCCGTGTTTGTAAATTTGTGGACTGTCAACCGGAGCGAACGATGGATGAACAAACGGAAACAAAGTATTGTTAAACGTTGGAATTTTATATTTTTTATATTTAATTAGATTCAGATAGTAATTTAATAAGTTTGAAATTTTCCATTTTTGTTAGAACTTTATAATTTATTTCAATTTAATCAAATTTGTTTTGCTAGTTTATGGATAAAAATTCAACAACTTTGTTTTTAATATTTTCCAGAATACGGCATTAATAACAGTTATGAAGAAGAGAAGCAGGAAGACATTTTTATGAAATTCTTCAAAGAAAATGTCGCATCGTTTCTGCTTTATTCCTCAAATCAGATTATTATAATACTTTTGTATGTCGTTAGTTTATCATTTAGTGTATGGGGAATTATTTCTTTGAACGAAGGTTTTGATGTTTTTGGTGTTTATCCCGAAAATTCCGAAATCACCCGAGCATTTAGAGTATATTATAAATATTTTACTGAATATCGATTTAGTATTCACATAGTGATTAACGAAACTTTGGATTATTCAAACGAAGTCGTTCAGAAATCATTAGACGACATGATTAAGAAGTTTCAGTCTCATCCAAACGTGGCAGATATTGACATTTCTTGGTTGAAGTATTATAAAGACTTGCAAAAACACTCAGCAGCGAAATATTCTTTTATGGGATACGATTTATCCACTAAACAAGATTTTATCGATGCTTTACGTCAGGTGTTCCTGAAATTTCCAGGTGCAAAACATTACCAGAATGATATCGTATTTAACCATAATTATACCGATATTATTTGCAGTCGTTTCTTTCTTTTAGCAAGAAATGTTTCGGATAGAACCACGGAGTCGAAATTAATCAAAGATATAAGAATGATGGCAGAAAAATTTTCTTTCTCTATTCTTATTCACACTATGATTTCGCCTATGGTTGAGCAAAGCGTCATTATTAGAGAAGTGGTCTTTCAATTTTTTTGGATAACGTCGTTAATAAATCTTGTTATTTTTATTTTCTTTAATCCAAATATTTTGTATTCGGTTGTCGTTGCTCTATGTATTTCGTCTATTACGATACAAACTCTGGGTTATATGTCGATATGGGGTGTGGATTTGGACATCGGTTCCATGTTTTGCTTAGTAATTTCTATGGGGTTTTGTGTTAATTACCCTACGCACATATGTTATTCTTTTCTCACTTCGTCAGATAAAACCATAAATGGTAGATTGCAGCACAGTTTATATAATGTGGGTTTCCCGATATTTCAGGGCGCATTCTCAACCGGAATAGGTGTGTTGATTGTTTTGCACAAAACTATGGTTTTGAATAAAGCATTTGTTAAAATACTTGTTATAATTGCGGTGCAAACTGCGTTTCATGCTTTATTCTTAGTGCCTGTCGTATTTTCTATTATTTGGTGTTGTATTTATATAAACAAAGCAACAAACAAGAATATATTATATAACATGGAATGAAGGGTTTGTGCATAGGCAAATAAACATATTAATTGGTTTATATAAACTAATTTACTTTTTACAGAATGATTTTCTTCTTTTTCAGATTTTTTGTTTATTTTCATTTTGTTTTTTCTCAAAATGACAACAGATTTATACAACAAATATGTATAATCACCAGTCGTATAGTAGTATATTTAGTTATTTATATCAACTGATTATAGTTGAATACAGAGCAAGTTTGTTTAATAAATAAATTTTTTTGTTTCTTATGGTATTGTTGCAGTGGGATGCCGTCATTGGAAGCGGTGGATGCGCCGCTTCTCTTGTATTTTTAAAAAAATAAATGCATATTAATTTTAATTATATGAAAATAATCGCACAATATTTTATTATAACCGCATTATGTATTTAATTACAAACTTCTATACTACACGTGAGAAAAAAGAAAAGATCGCTATTGTATATTCGAATATCAGTGGCGGAGTGGAAGCGCTGTATCGTCAAGCGCAGCATCCGAAAGCCAGATTCGCGCACGCGCTTTACAGAGCACCAACCTCACCGGGGCCGTATTCTGGTTACTTATCTCTCGTCTCTTCTTTCACCGACGAGTGACGTCAAAGCGAGAGACGAAAGTCGTCTCTCGTACAAAGTGGCGATTCTGGTCGTTCGAAACAATCTTGTCTTTGTCGTTGATGTCACGATTTTTTTCGGTTGATTATACATGTTTGGGTTATCTGCGCGCGCAACACGGTATAGAACTCTAACGAATGAAATTGTACAATTTTCGAAAGTGCAGAATACGAAAATATGGAGCACGTGGTACGGCACGAGGTAATCAACGTTATCCTCGGAACAGATGGAAATTTTGATAATTGAGCTTCAAAAGCGTCGAAATTTAGGTAAAGGAAAATCGAACGAGAATACAGTAGAGCCTCGAAAACTCGGCCTAATGTGGACCGAAGGGTGACCGAGATTGTGAAAATGCCGGGTTATCGGGAATGGGGTTAAAAAAGGATAAGTATGCGTGTTTCCTCAGAAAATATTGTACTGTACTTGTATGTATTGTTTGCTTGAGAATACAACAAAGAATACATTAGTCATTAGACCAGATGATTGAGAAATTTCAGTCTCATCCAAACGTGGCAGATAAGGATATTTCTTGGTTGAAGTATTACAAAGATTTTCAACAGCATTCAGCAGAAAAATATTCTTTTATGGGGTACGATTTATCCACTAAACAAGATTTCATCGATGCTTTACGAAATGTTTTTTTGAAATTTCCAGGAGCCAAACATTACGAGAATGATATCGTATTTAATCATAATTATACGGATATTATTTGTAGCCGTTTCTTTCTTTTAGCAAGAAATGTTTTGGATAGAATCACGGAGTCGAAATTAATCAAAGATATACAAACAATGGCAGAAGAATTTCCTTTTTCCGTTTTTATACATACCCTGATATCGCCTATAGTCGAGCAAAGTATCGTTATTACAGAAGTGGTCTTTCAATTTTTTTGGATGACATCGTTAATAAATCTTGTTATTTTTCTTTTCTTTAATCCAAATATTCTGTATTCGGTTGTCGTTGCTCTGTGTATTTTATCTATTACGATCCAAACCCTGGGTTATATGTTTTTATGGGGTGTAGACTTGGACATCGCTTCCATGTTCTTCTTAGTAATTTCTATTGGGTTTTGTGTTAATTACCCTACTCACATATGTTATTCTTTTCTCACTTCGTCAGATAAAACCATAAAAGGTAAATTGCAACATGGTTTATATAATGTGGGTTTTCCGATTTTTCAGGGCGCATTCTCAACCGGTATAGGCGTGTTGATTCTTTTACACAAAACTGTGTTTCTGAGTAAAGTATTCGTTAAAATAATTGTGATAATTGCGGCTCAAACTGCGTTTTATGCATTATTTTTAATTCCTGTCGTATTATCGATCAATCGGAGTTTCTTTTGTGTAAATAAAGCTGGAAAAACATCATATGCTACATAAGATGAAATGAAGAGTTTTAGAAAAGCATATAAATCCGTTAATCGTCGAAAATAAAATAAATAGTGTTCAGCAAACATTTGTTGTTTGTTAGATCGATAAACTTTCTTGTCATTTGTGTATGTAAAATACATAATTACAAGTTGTAGAGTAGGTTTTTCTTTTTGTATATTAAATCTTCTCACTTCTTCTACAACTCTTCATCTTTCCTTTTCCAAGGCTATACCTATTGGTGGTGGCCTTCTAATCCTATAGTAAATGTAAATGTATATTAAATCAATTTAATTCAATACAGACTTCTTAAAGTATGTAACTCTAAAAGCTGATAATTTAAATTTGATGGCGTTTAATTGTGTGCTTTGAAATAATACAATTAATTGTTTTCAAAAAATGGAATCAATGCAACTTATAAATGGTTTTTAAGTAGAGTTTAGGTTTTAAATTAAAACTGATAAATGTGCAATATTTGATAGATTATCAAATACCTAATAAAATAACGAAACAGAAGGTACAAATTAGATAATTATGTGTTTTTCTACACGTATTGTCAAATAATAGCGATTAATTCGTATCCAAAATATTATTGCAGGGTAGATTAGTGAAGTCGATAAAACTGTAAACCCTTATAAATCATAATTATATAAGTAATATGTGATCGTTTTGTCAACTTTTTTTATTACGGCGAATTAAGGCCATAGTAAACTTAATGATTTTATCTCCTGCTTTGGTGTAGCTTTTAATTTAGTGGGTGTGTCTAGATTTAACTACTATAAATATTTCCAAGTGTCAGGTAAGATGCGCTATAACTGGTATGTATTATCGTAGAATGTATGAATATCAAAGTGATCAACGTTCCATTAGTTATTTCCACACAATAAATAAATGAAATTGTTGTTGCTAATTGTGAAATAATTTGCTTTTACACAGTTGTACACAGTGTGTAATAAATAGATAATGTTGGCTTAAGGTGGTAATGTGTTGATTAGTTTAAGTAATTACGATAGCATGAACATACATTATATGGCTATTAATAATAAATACAATTACCGTATAATAATACTGCACTTTCCAAACATTCTAAGAAGGGAACGAAATTAGTTTTCCGACCATCTAAATAATAAACAGGAACTTGTTCGAAAAATAACTATAAAAACATTTAAAAATTATGAAAATTAAAAAAAATATAAAAAATAAAATGATAAAAAAGAAAAAGTAATAGAACTCTGACATAATTACTGATATATCAGAGAAAACACTAACATTAGTAAAGGTGGTGGTGAGTTCATTGAAGTATTTTAAAATATAAATAAACAAGATTTAGAAAGTAGGATAGTGATGTAAATACAAGTTGTAAATAGTTACAAAATTCAGTACAGTAATGTGTTTCTAATGTTTTTAAATGTAAATAGTTAATTTACTTTACATCTACTTTTGTCGAGGTCCTCTTTGAAAGAAATCTATGTTTGATAATTAGTGAATATCTGGTTAAAAATTAATGGGTCATAATTGCGGAAATCTTATGGATAGCAGTTAACTCGATATTTATATAATCAATCAAATTATGTGAAAAGTTAATTGTAAGTTATTTACAATTAAGTTTGAATAAAAGCCACTTATGAAAAGCTATCAATATTTAACAGAATAATACAAGAAGAAATGTAGATCTTACTGGAAAAATGGGCTAACATAGACGATTATTGATGTAAATCAAGAAAGCCAAAACTACTGTGCATATTAGGGCATTGTTAATACAAAATTTGGTAAGTTTATTTTTTTATAAAAGTCTTAATTATTGAGTAGTACCAGTCATCCATCTAACATCTTACAGGGAAAAAGTTTAACTTGAAATAACATGACATACATTTTATATCGAAAGCTATTGTATAGGTAATCCGCGCTTGCTGCCTCTTTCGTTTTTATATTTGGTATCGACTTTTATCTGTCTAACTCCGTTCTCGAGATTTCAGAAAGACAGACGGAATAACAGAACAACAGTAGGGATTTATAGATGTAGAATTTTTTTAAATTGCAGCCTAATAAACGTCATTAATTCCGACTCTACACTAGATATGGCATACGACCGTCTTTATGTTTTCACTCCTTCGACCTTTAACCCTCAAAACTTAATATCGTCACTCTCCCTAATATACGAACCTCGATGCGAAATTTCAGATATTTTCGACAAAAGGCACAAGTGATATTAAGCTACAAATTGGGTTAACGGAATCGTGACTGCCACACACATATACACCCATCCACAGCATACACGCACATAGTATTATCCATACTTATAGAGAAACTCTGAAATTTTTTCACTTCCCAATGCTACTAAGTTTCCTGCCAAAAATGTATAAATCTTCGTCGTTTTTTGACCGATTGCCACACTTTCCCTTCGTTATATATAACAGCCGAAAAAGTAAAAAAGCAAACGTATTGTATTAATGTTCTTACACGTAAAGATAAATATATAATAATGAAAAAATACTTAAGAAGTAATAAGAAGTAATTCCATAAATCAATTAAGATTATTGCTTCATAGCCTCTGAAAGCACATAAGAGAAAATAAATCAGACAATTTAATACAACACGTATACTGTCTTAAAAATCAAAATATATTTATTGAATTATATATTCTTACATGGATACAATATTGATTACAGAACTTTACACATTTAAATTTATTACTGAATAATTTTGAAGTTCGTTTTCTTTTGTATCCAGTTCTTACCAGTTACAAATACAGTGAATTCCGGAGCAATAGCCTCCTCTGTGGCCACGAGTTATGCAATATATATTGCAAGATCTGGGAACACATATTTTGTCTTGCATATAAACGAACCCTATAAGATAAATTAAATATTAACGTATCCTTATATTTTAAGGTTACATAAGTGTTATGACTATTATTGTATGTTAAAATGCTTAATAATTAGGATTAAAAGTTTAACGAACACATTACCTATTATGGTAATCAGAAGAACCAGTAAAAAGACTAAGACGAGAGATTTCATCATTCTTCTTTCAGTCGAATTGCTCTATAATATAAGGAAATTTTTTACATGAATATACAGTACTATAAATTTCCTTACAACCGAGTAAATTCTCGGTTCTTAATATATTCTTAATGTTTATCAATTAAATAAATAGAAATCTATTGTGTAAAACACTATAAACAATGTATAATATATTCTTTCTCGTGCCTCTTTGGTATAATCTTAGAAAGAATTATTATAAACAGATAATTTAACTATAATTTTAGTCGATTTTTATGTTGAATGAATACAGTTTAATGTAATAATTGTTGATATTCTAATTATAAAAACACAGCTATTAAACTGAGTTAAATTTTAGAATTATATCTATATTTTAAATTACATACACTCAAAGCAAAAAAAAACTATACTTACTACTGATGCAAACAGGTGGAATTAACAGATATGATAACATTGGTGTGACATATTTATATATAAGTCGTAAAGAATATTTCATCATATCAGAGTAAAATTTTATTGAACTTCCTGCCTATCTCTGTTCTAAGAAGTGAGGCAACACGGGTGTTGAGTGACTTAAATTCTCAGAAAGTATTTCCCAGACATTTTAATTATAAACAAAATTTATCACATTGACACGTGCTATTCAAATAAATAAATAATTAGTAAAGAATAGCGTATTAATGATTTGTTAATTACTCCAAAAATAATTAATTATACATAAAGGTAATTAACGAAATGTTAATTGTATTTATCTAGGAATTAAGAAGTGTTAGTAGTTTATATCGTACAAATTATATGTAACAGTTTATAAATAATTTTGTAATAAATGTATTATGTTTAATAAGTTAAGCAATATCTTCTATAGAATGGGAGTGGAGGTTCCGAGTATTTATATAACGGAAGACAGAATAATATAAAATGAAAATTTGTTATAATAAAATAACAGTAGTTTTTTATTTATTTAATTCAAAATATCTGTTCACTTCAAATTAGTAATGTCTTGTCATTGTTCTTTTGAATCGAAATAATGTGATTTTCCGTGCAACCCAGATAATCTTATGTAATTAATCGGTCCTTCTTCGCCAGCCTGGTTTCGACTCGCATCTATCTAACTTCGTCCTCGACATTAAAAGTGGTCAGACAGAGAGGAAACGGGAGGACAATTATAGAGGAAATTTATAGGTGTATAATTTTTCCAAATTGCAGCCCAGTTAACATTAAATACTGTTTGTTTTGTCGGGTCTTTAAGAAGAGCGGCCGATTGGTGGAACCGCAGAATCGATCCTCATTCTTCACAATGCATCGATGAAACTAATCACATTTTTATCCATTTGTTTTAATTAATTAAATTTAATATACTTTCAGTTTTATTTTAAGTAATTCCTTGTTTTTATCATTGTTTTATCTCGCTTTTGGGAATTAACTATATTTATTTTCATCATTGTTATCACTTCTTATCAATAGCTAAAGATATATTACCGTGTTTTTCCTGTTTATATCTTTCAGTGGCCGAATAAATAAAATCACTTAGCACTGGTTGCTAGTAGATTCTCTCGTCTACTATGTATTTCTCTGGCCACGGGGATTATTTCCGGTTTTTTACTTGTGTAATGTATAAACCGGGAACCAATTTCTCACAGAAAACCCTCTTCAGAGGCATCCCCTTGGCAGATCTTTCACGTGTTGTGTTTCCTTACGTCATAAATAATCTCTTTATTTCAGGAAGTTTCAAACAACACTTGATAAATGCTGATATATTTCACTCTGTATAAATCAACAGTTACAAGATTTTGCTGTGAAGTATTGCTACAGACAAATATATGCAATAACACATCGAATTATTGCAAACGTCTATATCAGCGTTTCTCAAAGTGGGCGATAACGCCCCCTTGTGGGCGCTGGAGGCTTTCAGGGGGGCAGTAGAAGGCTCAAAGAGAATTGAGGGGCGTTAAGGAAATATAGAGGGGCGACGGCAGACAAATTCTACATATAAAAATTCGACGGAATATATATAAAATGTTGACATTTTATAAATTTTTTATTTTTTATTGAAGGTCACAACTTGAATATTTCTAACACATTGACTTTCATTTTAGGTCAGCGTTTCTCAAAGTAAGCAATAACGCCCCCTTCTGGCGCGATGAATAGATCTATGATAGAGGCAGGGTATTGAACGGTGACCAAAGGCAAAATTGGGGTTGAAAAGAGGAAACATTGCGTTTAATGGTTTCCAGATGATGAGAACAATGTACAGTAAGGGCACAAAGTGTAAGATTCATAGAAAAGTTTTCCTAAGAATATTTCCAATCCTTTTCTCACACAAGAGAAAATAGGTTAGGGGGCGTTGGGTATAACTTTATGGAACAAAGGGGGCGGTGGATCGAAAAAGTTTGAGAATCACTGGTCTATATTATTGTAAAATAAACAATGTTAAAAATAAGCGAAAGGAGGTAATTCTTCTAAGTGAAAAAATGTTAAAATTCAGTCAATAAACACAGAAATTTATCATGAGCAGCGTTTCTTAATTATACCTGGCTTTTAGTTTCGTCACCCATATTATTGGCAGAACCGAACCCAGCATGAGTATGAGAAAAAAATTTTTTAAGGCTATAATTCAAGAAACAAACAAAAATGAAAAAAATACAATAGAAACATAATTAATTGCATGTTATCGCTTCTAAACACTAAAGTTAATACAAAACTAATGAGAAAAAAACAGATACTGTAATATACAAATTATATTGTAAGTTTTCAAATACTGTATATATATTAAGAACTAGAATACAAGAACACGAGTGATATACTAGTAAAATATGATAAACATAAATTGTGAATTGTTTTTCAATCAGGTAATTCAAATAAATATTTTAGTTATAATAGTAAAACAATTTAAATAATAATAGGTTTTAATAAGCTTTCTATTAATTTGGAAGGTGCTTTAAAAAAATCTAGACAATCTAGCATTATGTACTCAAGAATATACGAAATCCTTTGTGCATCTGGGAATATATTAAGGATTAAACAAGGTACAAGAATATTACGATATTTATTTTTCTATCTACTAATCACTTAAATCCTTATCGGTTGATTTTTTCAACCTATAAGAAAACAGTCCTCGTTAAATAACAATATAAAACATATTTAAAATAAATGTACTCATAAAAGATGAGAATTGCCTGACTAGAAACAATCACAATCGATAACTCGATATTGTATGAAAGAACGACACAAAGATACAACAATTCTTAAGCCAAATGAATTCCAACTAGCATGATTTAAAACTGAACCTGAAACAGATTAATAACAACTAATTACATTTCTTGGACATTATCATTGCATTTCGAAACAAATCACTGTGCACAAAAGTGTATATCAAGCCTACACATGATCAGATATATATACCATCGACATATAATGATCCAATTGCATATAAACTCTCTGCATTTAGGGCTCTAATCAGAAGACCGTTTATGAATTGCTCTTACATTATAGATACGATATAAGAGCTGATTAGAATTATAGTGGCGAAAGTGTTTGGATTTGGAAGAACTGTATAACACCTAATTTCCACATAAAAAAAGCAAAAAAAGACCAGATGGAAGCTGCAAAATCAAAAAATTCAAATATATAATAAACATCCATCCCCTGTTATAAAAAAATCGCGAACTACAAAACACTAATATTCTCCAAATAATATCTCGAAGAAACAATATCTCGGAACTACCATGCTTACATTAAATCCGAATCTGGTCTTTNCTTGGACATTAACATTGCATTTCGAAACAAATCACTGTGCACAAAAGTGTATATCAAGCCTACACATGATCAGATATATATATACCATCGACATATAATGATCCAATTGCATATAAACTCTCTGTATTTAGGGTTCTATTCAGAAGACCATTTATGAATTGCTCTTACATTATAGATACGATATAAGAGCTGATTAGAATTATTGTGGCGAAAGTGTTGGGATTTGGAAGAAGAACTGTATAACACCTAATTTCCACATAAAACGATCCTAGAAAAAGCAAAAAAAAAAAAAAAAGACCAGATGAAAGCTGCAAAATCAAAAAATTCAAATATATAATAAACATCCATCCCCTGTTATAAAAAAAATCGCGAACTACAAAAACACTAATATTCTCCAAATAATATCTCGAAGAAACAATATCTCGGAACTACCATGCTTACATTAAATCCGAATCTGGTCTTGGAATTGCAACAGCGCAACCCAGATTTTCCTCTAGTCCAAAGTGGAGTGCTTGTTTGGAAAGTTATACTTGGATCCTCAGTTCACTAGGGCGGTATTCAGCCGGGAGACATAATCACGGATATTAACGGTAAACCAGTAAAATCTGCTAATGATATTTATGCAGCGCTAGAAAATAACGCCACGATAAAAGTCACAGTAAGAAAAAAAAATGAAGTGTTCAAACTAACTATAACACCACAAGAAGCCGATTAAAATGAATTAATTTCTTACAGTTTTTAATAGAAATTATAAATTTTTTCATAGTTTTGTTGAACAAAATGTGTTTCTGCATATAAATGAATTAAAGACAATAGAGATTTCTAGTGAAGTTGCTTATACAGAGATACACTGTATCTTTTTTTGTTCCAATAAACTTGTAATTTATATTTTGATATTTTCTATAATTTGTTTTATTTATTCTCTCTTTATTATATTAAACATTTCTGTATCATTGTTTTTTCTTTTTGATTTTTTACACATTGTTTATATCTTGATCTGTATTTAAAATAACCTACATTTACAAACAGCTAATTATCATCCAGTTTTTTCCAGAAAGACTTCCTCTATCTCAAGTGGAGTTGAACTTAAGAAGTCATATTTCCCTACCCCTTCGACTATTAACCACCAAAAATTTAATAACATCAATGGTCCTAATACACAAATCTCCCCGCAAAAAATAGGAGTTAATTAAACTCAGTTTGGCAGAGAAATTCTTACAATAGTTATTCCTGAGCACAATCTGTCTGTACATCTAAAAAAAATTAATGAGAAAGAACATCCATAAGTGTACGCAATACCATACAAGTACGACCAATTGGGAATAGACAAAGAATATATAGAAGTCACGAATAGAAATCTTAACGTAAGGGTGAAAGAGCATAAATACGACGTAGTAAAAAGCCGATATTTTTGACAACAGCGTTATAAAAAATAGCGCAGACTGATGAATCCATAGTTAAATGGAAAAAAGGCCACAATCATTGCAAATGGGCACTCGCCAACGCTTGCATCCACAACACAAAAGAGTGAGATCTACAGATCTAGCTTAACAGAAAAATGTTAAAACCATAAGGATGCGACCATTTCCCGTCGGCATGAAAATATATAATCAGAAAGAACTCGTAAGATGATACATCCACCAGGCTCAATAAAAACCTAAGTTACTATAAAAAAGTTTTTACATGTTGTATTGTATAAAATTACCGTATTTTGTATTTTATTTTTCTTAATTACGTTTAAATATAATTTAAATTTGATGGCGTTATACGAAAAGCCATTAATTCGAACGACTTTAACATGATGACGACCCATGGAATAAGTTTAAAACGTTTGTTTAGCTCAATAAATGTGCTTTCTCAGTATTAAAGTGTGTTCAATTTACAGATTTTAACACGATCGAATAATTAATTAAAAATAAACTATATAACTTTATATTAAGACCATGAGCAGATTTTTATAAATACAAAGTCCATTGTAATTATAAACACTTCATATTGGCAGTATTTAACAGTAAAATAAGATGAAAAGACATTTATCGAACGATTAAGGGAGACGATTCCAATCCGAAGTAAAACCCCAATATTTCTAAAAAACGGTCTGTCCTGCATATGAAAAATGCAGTCTCCCATTACTTTGCCCAATTGAGGGTCTGGCCGTACCCACAATGAACTTCATAAAAAGGACTTCTTAAAGCATATAAGAAAAATATAAAATTTATTAATATGGCGTCATTAAAATCAATTTTTCAACAATACTTTCGAGTTCAATTGTCGAGTTGCTATTGTTGAGTAGAATGTTTCGCTGCGCCGAAAAAGTTGTTTCGCAAATTTCGAGAAATAAAATGAAGAAGAAAAGGTAAATTTAATCAGAAATTGTGTCTATTTATTCTTTATATTATGTAAGAATTAATATAGTTTCTCTGTAGTAGGAGAGAAGATTCTGAACCGAGTGTTCAGGAGAATAAAGATTGCTCATTTCAGGTAAACCATTGATTTCTCTGTAACAATATCGAAATTTTTCTTTGAGTAGATTAACATAACGAAAATTTTTTGATTAATTTTAAAACGATAACGTTTGCAAACATCGATAATTTTTACCTTGATATTTCGTAGAATGGCAAAGATTCGCCTGCAACAAAATGTGACTCCTCGAATCTAGACGAGTCGCAGTTGCAAGCAAATAAACAGAAGAAAGGAAAGTTTATGGGATTTTTAACTAATTTATTCCATAAATTTTTGTTATGTTGTTGCATTTCAGGCGAGATCTCTAATACCGAGGTAAGTATTCGTTCCTTCTGTTTTCCTTCCATTAGCAAATTTTCTAAATAAATAATCATTTCTATAATTTTGTAGCCTTACGAATTGGAAAAAAAACTCGCAGATTCAAAGAAGGAACACGACCGTTTCGATAAAACCAAATATTATATTGACAAGTACAAAATTACTAAAGAAATTGGTCGTGGAAGTTTTGGAACTATTTATTTGGCTAAGACCAAATATTCTAGAAAGAAAAAGGCTTTAAAAATCGTAAAGAAGAAAGTCCCTTCTTCTAATCAGGTATTTTTTAACAAAAATTACCAATATTAAGGGGATTAAGAACAATTTCCGGAATATACACAAAATTCACTAAATATATATATATACATTAAAAGAATAATAATTTTCTTAATAGTATAAGAGTAATCACTGTTTTATGAATTTACACTAGTAATATTTAAACAATATTTAAAATTTATATTTCGTGTGTAATCATCATTAATTTATTCATAGTTTGGTGAAATCCGGAGAGAAACAATCGTTTGGAATTGCGTGTCCGCCCATCCAAACATTGTCAGATTGATTCGATTCCTGCAAACTGACACAGCGTAAGTTTTTCTCTTTTCACCTGAGTTATTTATAATAATTTGTGCTCTGTGAAGTAATAAGTTTTATTTTTTAGCTTTTGCTTTGTCTCGGATTTTGTTGAGGGAGAAACTTTGACCGAATTTATACAAAAGAATGGCCCTATACCGGAGAGAAGAGCTAAAGTGTTTGCCGCTCAAGTGGCCTCTGCTATTATGTATATTCATAGTAATGGTAATTATTTGCTGTAGATTTATTTGCTTGTTTAGTCCAGAGATGTGTAAAGAGTGGCAAAGTAATGTTTTTATTTTGAATAGGAATAATACACCGAGACATTAGTTCAAACAACGTTATGTTAGATGTGTACAAAGGTGCACAAGTAATTGATTTCGGTCTATCCACAGTAAGCATTATACATTGTAATATTCTTGAACTGTAGATTTTTAACGATCTCTTAACTATTTTATTATTACTTTTTTCAGTACGAACGAAATCCAAGAGATTATTGTGGAACTTTATCATTTATGTGTCCGGAAATTCTCCAGAGGAAGCCTTACGGTAAAGACTTGTACTTTCACATTTGTACTTTCACATCATTGGATCATATTGTTGGATGTATTAATGAATGTATTGTTTGTAGATTCGTACTGTGACTGGTGGGCGTTCGCCATTGTGTTATTTCAAGCGTTGGTTGGAAGAACTCCTCTAGAGATTTATGTAAAAGAAGCTTTCGATATTGATAATGTGTATTTATTGCCCCGTTACGACCGAATAAGAGGTAATGTATCAAAATTATTAATTGAATAATAACAATAGCAATATAAGATAATTAATATTAAAATGCGTTTGCAGCTGCTCTAAATGTGAAGATGTCGTATCCTCCTGCATTATCGGATGATGCCAGACATTTTATTTATGATCTATTGCAAAAGGTAAAATTATACTTAACTGTACTTAACAAATTCATATTTGTCTTTCCCCGTTTTATGCACGAAATGACATTTATTTACGAACCGAAGCATGTAATTCTCTTATGTATCTACATTCGACTTTTCTCTGTTGCCAAAAACAATGAATATATACGGCAAATTTTGTGTTTTCTCTTGTATGAAAGCATTCATTCAATTAATATCGTTAATTGTAATCATATGGTCTTTCTGTGGACTTTCATAAATCTGTTTATAATTAATTCACCGATTATATTCAATAAAATGTTGAAAACTCGTTTCATATCATTAAGTAAATTTTTAATGACGTGCTGCTAATTAGTTTAATAACATTTATCTTATCCGAAATAACACACAGACAAAAACATAATCATTCGAATAGTAAATTTGAATTAATTACTTTTGTTTTCGATCATTTCAGGACCCGTACAGACGTCCTCTAGAAGTAAATATAAGGGAACACGAGTATTTTCATAAAGTGCCTTGGCCCAAAATTGTATGTTTTGTTTTCCAATATCGCATTTGAATGTCACTTTACGAAATAAAACAACTGATTTGCTTTTGTATTTTCAGACTTAGGCGTTTTCGGCAGAATAAACTGAAAACGAAGTTCGGATCTTTCTTGAAATCAATGTGGAAGCCGGTTAACAGGTATGTATTTCTATGTACAGTACAGTACATTTAATCAAAGTTCGATTTTGCTCCGTCACTTTTTCGCCTCTTAAATTAGCACTAATTCGAGTGTGGCGGTAAACCAAAATTCCGTAAACATCAATATATAGTATTAAAATCTACACATAAATTTGAGTTCAGAATCTATGTGATTAGACGAGAATCACATAATATTCCCTATTTTTTGGCGCTTTTTAAAATGCGTTATATCGAGATTTGACGGTTTAGTCTTCATCCAAACAAGTCTCATATTTAATTCAATAAAAATATAAGTTAAAACTGAAAAACTAAACATTTTTCAACGGTAAACTGAATACAAATTTGTTAACTTTTTGATGTCGATCAATAGACATAAGCTGGAACCTCGATATAGCGCCATCGATATTTTCTGATTAAATTCGCATTCAGTTAAATTCTCATTTCAATGAGTAATATCACTTGTAACGTTATTATTTTTCTTTATTCAGAACCGTACGTAAGTGGAGAAAATAAGAGTTATCCGAGTATGCTCGGTTGGAGTAAGATGTTTTTGTCAATATCTGAAGAGATCTATTTCTGATTTGATCCGAGTTTGTCTTGGGTAAGTGTTTATAAAATAATGTTTTTGTATTTTACATTAAACATTCAGGAAATTTTACACTCTCACTTTATAAATACTGTATATCACAGTCGATGGCCTAGTTGTACAAACAACACATAATTAAATGACGACATGAACAAGACAAAACCTAAAAGCAGATTAATGCTATTGCGATGTTATATACATAACAAGGATTTTAGGGTCTCGAGCATTACGCATGTATTATTGTCGATACTCTGTATTGGTCCAAATCTGGAATCCAGTATTGTACTTGGAAAGATCTTAGATCTTACAAGAAATCATATCGTACGGCTTTACATTGTATACATTTATATAAATGGGCTTTAAATTTCAATATCTAGCTGAGGCCTCAAATATCCTAAAGTCGTTAGTGATTTTATGATATACTGTACTTACCTAACAAGCGCCCTGTCAAGAAGAGACTAGGAAAGTTATTTGTCTATCCTAAAATACCACTTTCTTTTATTAGAAAAATAATTTTAGAAATCGGTGAGGTCTGTAAGAGTAAATTTATTTTAATTGCCGATGCATCGAAACACGGTAAACAATATTATCGTGCGAGGAGTTGACCTTATGTTTATCTTTTAAGTCCAATTAGAAACTATACTATTTTCTTGTGTTTTACGCGTTTATTACGAAGATAGAAGAGACTAACATAACTAGAAAAAACCTATTTATGAAAGATAATTTTATTTTATCGTTTTGTTACTTTATACACTTTCTGACACACAATCCTGTGGATTCACTCATCTCGTAACCCTGCAAAATAACTCAATTGGATGTAAAGATAAGTTTATTTAGTCACTTTGTTTTGTCACTTAAATTTATTAGAGGAAGGTTATAAAACGTTCACATTCACAATAACATATATTTGGTACGTAATAAATGACACAGGGCAGCAATGTATTTTCAGTTTCTTAAAAAGAAATATTAAGTTATTATTTTATAAATGATTGAAATTTGTAGATAAAAGTCTTAATAATTTCCATTTTATTTTTACAGATCTTTGAAGAAATTTGGAGATTCGTCCCCTTTGTATATAGTTTTTTACTTTTTTCTTCATATATTTGTGTGGTTTATTTATCGTTATCGTTCTCTTTAATTTGTTGAGCAGTTGAGAAATTCAAAAACAGAAATTAAAAAGCTATCAAAATTAAGAAATTTGACGACAGATCACGTTTTTTTTTCTAATGCATCTCACGAAAATAGAGTTTTGTCCAATTTTGACTTTTTAAAATTTGACTTTTTATCGATTTTGGCCTTCCAGATTTCGACTTTTACCGATTTTGACTTTTTTAAATTTGATTTTTTATCGATTTTGACTGTCCAGAATTCGACCTTTACCGATTCTAACTTTCTAAATTTAACTTTTATCGATTTTGACTGCCCAGGATTTGTCCTTTACCGATGTTGACTCTCCAAATTTTGACCTTTAAACGATTTTCACTACGTTATTTCAAATATTCTCGAACTTGACTACCGGATTGTGTCTACTAAATTTGATTCCCGAATTGTTTTCATTCTCGAATTTGACGCATCCTGGTTCTGTCCATTACTTATTGTGTCTTGCGAACGTAAATTTGCTCTGAATTACGTCGAAATGAAAACATCTAGAAATTAATCTTCGGTATCTTCAGTTCTCGAACCTTATTTAAATACAGTACATTAAATGTCTAATAAACTCATGAAACGTTAATACAGTAAAGAAAAGACAGATGGAAGCAATATCTGTGGAATAATTTGCGTCTACCGAAATTGTCAAGACAATGTTTGCTGAATATTCGGAAATTGTACGTGCAATTTTTTATCACGAAAATGTATATTCAAATAAACGTTGCTAAGTATTATTTATCGTTCTAGGTTACGGATAATGGAGTTTTATGTTTAAAAGCGTGTGAAAGTGCGAAGGAATTGATTTACAAAAGGATTTCTTTAAAAGTAAACATAAAGAAATTGAAGAAGGCAATTTCAATAAATTAAAAACCCTTTCAAGGAGATATTTTCCCGATTGCATCAATTTTAAGAATTTAAGAACGTAGATTCAATCGAATTTTATCATGTAATGTGAATCGGAAAACAATCTTTCTATTTGTAAACATCTTGTTGTCTAATAAATGCTTTTATTTGATTTTTCGTGAGTTTATTTTAATATCACAAAAAATTGATAATGTTTATGCTGTTTTAAAATTCAAATTAATGTTAATTACGATTTAGATCTGTTTTTTAAAGTAATCGGTGCCTTTCGTTTGACCACGCTTGCCCAACAAAACGTTTCGTTTGCCCATGCTTGAAAAAACATAGCTTATCCAGATTTTTGGCTGTTTTACATTACAGCATCGCGTAGAGAATTCTTTTCCTAAGAAAGTTGTGGCATTTGTTTTCTTACATTATAATAAAAATGTATAAAAATAGTTTTGTCTGCAAACATCGAGATTGTAGCGAGCGAATACGACCATGTGGTAGCCTAATGATTTTGTTCTCTTTTTGTATGCTAACAAAAAAAAAATGTATTGACGTTCATATTTCATGGTGTTTGACTGACACTAAAATAAACTTATGAAATCATTTATTTGTTTCTGTCTAAAGATTCCGACAAAAATTTCGCTGTAAAAGCTATAGTCACAGAAGATCATTGACTTTTTTTTGAAGGCCTCTTCCCGCTCTGAGAGCACTAAGAGGACTAAGAACCACAATGAGAAATGTAAAATGTATTATAATGTATAATGTGAAGAGGGAGCGAACAAATACTTACTATTTATGGGAATGTTGCCTGCAGAGCAAGGGTGCTGTAAAGGTGTTAAGAAAAGCCTGCCAACATTGTCGGGGGGAAGATTGAGATAGGAGAGAAACAGTTCAGTGAGAATAGAAGAGAAATAATACACCTCTGCAGAAACAATTTACTAGTCTTATGCTAATGTATTTAAGATAGAAGAACATCAGCCAGAAGAGGGTGCAATATACATATATTTATTTATTTAATTTTTTTTCTCTAGATGGCATTACAATCGCGCTGGGCGCACATAAATATAACTTGTTCTTAGGGGGAGGCATGGGTGGGGGTGGCTTGTGGGACTTAAAAGTCCCAGAATCCTGGTTATTTCTATCAGGTTGCTGGAGGGAGTCAATGTGGAGATTTTGCTGCTGGATGGCTTGATTAAAATTTTTCTCGAGCTCCTGAATCAGAAAGCTTACTCCAGCCAGGCTTTGAATGGCTTTGTCTTTAAGTTCTGTCCTCATGTTGCCGGCGGCCTCTATACACTCTTTGACAGTGAAAAGTTTCTCTTTTATTCCTTCTTCTAGCTCCATGATGATATCTTGAGACTTATCCATGCTAACTCTTTAGATATTAATTTACTGGATTGACTTTAATTTTATTTATATACTATTCCTACTATATTACTATTCCTACTGTATTATTTTAAAACTTTACCTAACCCAGGCACCAGAATGAAAAAAAAACAGCTCCTCACAAAACAGCAACACGTCTTAACAGAACACTTTCCTGAACTGCAATGGTAAAGCATGGTTAAAAACAAAGAGACTGGATTTTTAAACAAAGGAACTGGTTTCTATTGTTTACAGGCAGGGGAGAAATTGCCTAATGGAGAGGAAACACTATATTAAGATTTATTATTATTTAAATGAAATATTATATCTTTGTACTATATATGAATAAATAGGTATTTTTGGACTTTATCATTATTATTAGTTTATTCACAATAACATATATTTGGTACGTAATAAATGACACAGGGCAGCAATGTATTTTCAGTTTCTTAAAAAGAAATATTAAGTTATTATTTTATAAATGATTGAAATTTGTAGATAAAAGTCTTAATAATTTCCATTTTATTTTTACAGATCTTTGAAGAAATTTGGAGATTCGTCCCCTTTGTATATAGTTTTTTACTTTTTTCTTCATATATTTGTGTGGTTTATTTATCGTTATCGTTCTCTTTAATTTGTTGAGCAGTTGAGAAATTCAAAAACAGAAATTAAAAAGCTATCAAAATTAAGAAATTTGACGACAGATCACGTTTTTTTTTTTAATGCATCTCACGAAAATAGAGTTTTGTCCAATTTTGACTTTTTAAAATTTGACTTTTTATCGATTTTGGCCTTCCAGATTTCGACTTTTACCGATTTTGACTTTTTAAAATTTGATTTTTTATCGATTTTGACTGTCCAGAATTCGACCTTTACCGATTCTAACTTTCTAAATTTAACTTTTATCGATTTTGACTGCCCAGGATTTGTCCTTTACCGATGTTGACTCTCCAAATTTTGACCTTTAAACGATTTTCACTACGTTATTTCAAATATTCTCGAACTTGACTACCGGATTGTGTCTACTAAATTTGATTCCCGAATTGTTTTCATTCTCGAATTTGACGCATCCTGGTTCTGTCCATTACTTATTGTGTCTTGCGAACGTAAATTTGCTCTGAATTACGTCGAAATGAAAACATCTAGAAATTAATCTTCGGTATCTTCAGTTCTCGAACCTTATTTAAATACAGTACATTAAATGTCTAATAAACTCATGAAACGTTAATACAGTAAAGAAAAGACAGATGGAAGCAATATCTGTGGAATAATTTGCGTCTACCGAAATTGTCAAGACAATGTTTGCTGAATATTCGGAAATTGTACGTGCAATTTTTTATCACGAAAATGTATATTCAAATAAACGTTGCTAAGTATTATTTATCGTTCTAGGTTACGGATAATGGAGTTTTATGTTTAAAAGCGTGTGAAAGTGCGAAGGAATTGATTTACAAAAGGATTTCTTTAAAAGTAAACATAAAGCAGTTGAAGAAGGGAATTTCAATAAATTAAAAACCCTTTCAAGGAGATATTTTCCCGATTGCATCAATTTTAAGAATTTAAGAACGTAGATTCAATCGAATTTTATCATGTAATGTGAATCGGAAAACAATCTTTCTATTTGTAAACATCTTGTTGTCTAATAAATGCTTTTATTTGATTTTTCGTGAGTTTATTTTAATATCACAAAAAATTGATAATGTTTATGCTGTTTTAAAATTCAAATTAATGTTAATTACGATTTAGATCTGTTTTTTAAAGTAATCGGTGCCTTTCGTTTGACCACGCTTGCCCAACAAAACGTTTCGTTTGCTTATGCTTGAAAAAACATAGCTTATCCAGATTTTTGGCTGTTTTACATTACAGCATCGCGTAGAGAATTCTTTTCCTAAGAAAGTTGTGGCATTTGTTTTCTTACATTATAATAAAAATGTATAAAAATAGTTTTGTCTGCAAACATCGAGATTGTAGCGAGCGAATACGACCATGTGGTAGCCTAATGATTTTGTTCTCTTTTTGTATGCTAACAAAAAAAAAATGTATTGACGTTCATATTTCATGGTGTTTGACTGACACTAAAATAAACTTATGAAATCATTTATTTGTTTCTGTCTAAAGATTCCGACAAAAATTTCGCTGTAAAAGCTATAGTCACAGAAGATCATTGACTTTTTTTTGAAGGCCTCTTCCCGCTCTGAGAGCACTAAGAGGACTAAGAACCACAATGAGAAATGTAAAATGTATTATAATGTATAATGTGAAGAGGGAGCGAACAAATACTTACTATTTATGGGAATGTTGCCTGCAGAGCAAGGGTGCTGTAAAGGTGTTAAGAAAAGCCTGCCAACATTGTCGGGGGGAAGATTGAGATAGGAGAGAAACAGTTCAGTGAGAATAGAAGAGAAATAATACACCTCTGCAGAAACAATTTACTAGTCTTATGCTAATGTATTTAAGATAGAAGAACATCAGCCAGAAGAGGGTGCAATATACATATATTTATTTATTTAATTTTTTTTCTCTAGATGGCATTACAATCGCGCTGGGCGCACATAAATATAACTTGTTCTTAGGGGGAGGCATGGGTGGGGGTGGCTTGTGGGACTTAAAAGTCCCAGAATCCTGGTTATTTCTATCAGGTTGCTGGAGGGAGTCAATGTGGAGATTTTGCTGCTGGATGGCTTGATTAAAATTTTTCTCGAGCTCCTGAATCAGAAAGCTTACTCCAGCCAGGCTTTGAATGGCTTTGTCTTTAAGTTCTGTCCTCATGTTGCCGGCGGCCTCTATACACTCTTTGACAGTGAAAAGTTTCTCTTTTATTCCTTCTTCTAGCTCCATGATGATATCTTGAGACTTATCCATGCT